ATTCGATTCTCAAATTGTCAGGACATATTCTAATACCAGCACCTTACAACATCCCAAGTATATCTTCTATCATCAGCACCCCAGGAAGTTCGAAGCTCGACAAACCCTAATCCTGAATATTTTCGCGGCCGATGATATAGGCTAGTAAAGTAGGAGTCGTGGAGAAGAATCATGCAGCCTATTGCTTTCGTGCTACCGATAGTTCTTTATGGTTCTCTAGGTATGTTACGGGGTTGATATTTGCTGTGGGCATTCTCTTATCTACAAGGTATATACGTACGCGTAGATCTACAGATCTAGAGTGGGGGCCGGTGGTGTGGACAGCCTCTATCATCAAAGTCTCATTAATTATAAACTATGGTTTATAGATATCGAGTGATCACACATGACCAACCGACATCTACCTATCCCGTATTTTTATAATAGGAAAATCTTCAAGTCTGGATGTGTAGTTGTTCTCGGTTCACTAAAGAAAAAGACTCCAGCTTGCTTGTAAGTCTAAAGTCCGTCTTCTATGAGGTTTCCCATGAAAAAGACCGCAGCATACATATATAGATGAGATATGCAGTCATAAAGTGGGCGCTGCGACCAACATTTCGTGTTTACTGCGAGTCGAGAAGGATGCATTCGGTAACGAGTCGAGATTGTCCAGGAATTCATCCTAAGGTGGGAATTGGCTCAAGAAAGGGGTTTGAGGCTCAGGTAGATATTACTCCCTTACTATACGTACATGTAGTACTGCAGTGACCTCTTCTAGTGCGGTAAGGTGTTGTCACTAGTAGGGGGCTCGGTTGGGGCTCATAGGAGAGCATCATTACGAAAGCCTAATTTGACAACCTCCACTCTCAAAGCTGTTTCCACAACACTCTTTCATCTGAATCCATCATTTCTTCTATCTGAAATATGCCCATCTCTAGTTGATATCCTCAATCTTTAGGTATTGTAAGACCTTGGCCTGAACGAGACACGCCCAAACTGTATCCCTTTTGCTGCCGAATATCAGCGATATTCTCAGGACAGACTGGTACACTCTATATATGTGTGTTTAGAAATCTGCTGGTACGTTTATTTCCAACTATCAGAATAGTTGACTAGCATTAGGTATGCTATATTAGATAAATGTTTTTTTTATTACTGAAGGCTTCTTTTATACGAATATGGAAACTGAAAAGCGAGATCTCCATACAATGCAACAAATAATACTGGACTCAAGACTTGACGGGGCCGACGTTGTACGAGACTACCATCTTGTGGAGTCGGGAGACTTGTGAGTGGTCGTAACTTCTAAGCTTGGTAATAATAGGGATGATATCGTCTGTATCACTCATACAATTTTCAATCATGATATTAACCTTCGAGTAGTTTCTTCGATTAGATAAAATTGGCTCTGCCCACTGAGAGGGTTTGGTTTGGTTAAAGAGAAGCATGAGAACAAGAAGTCGCAAGACTTTTACCACGAAACCTTTCAGGCCTATCTAAGTATAACTATAATACCCTTTATATATCGTCTCTTATAACCGGGCCGATTCATGAATCAATCGATCAAATCCAAATCGGGTCGATCCCGAAGATATGTGCCTTAACCCGCTCCACATCCTAGTATGGCTGCTTTTGGATTCACGATATATCACTCGGATTAGCTCGCTCACATTTTGCAAATTTGTCTCGTGTGGTCCAAGATTCACACCGTCTCCTTGAATCTACAACCCAAGCGCAAAAGCGGCCAACGAAAAGCAAAATCTTATATCATAAATTCACGACCCCGAAATAAATAGGCTCTGGCGGCTTGAGAGACAGAGAAATACATTGAATTTCCAAAGTAATCCTGATCGAGCGGGGCTTTGATGATAACCGAGGCAACCAAACCAACGAAACAAAACAAAAGCCCTCACGAGACCATGAAAAGTTCCATGGAATTAATTACTTGAGCTATTATTACAGTGTAACACCTTCCTTTCAGAAAGCTCCCATCTCATCTCTTCATCTCAGATTGCTCCACGTTATACTAATTGGCTACATGCGCGCGCGCAGCAACGGTTGTACCTTGCGGGCCGATTCGACAGCGTTGAAAGGCCACATGGACCCCTCATCTGTGACTCTAGGGTTAGGGTTTGGCCTGCCCGATTTTCTTTCTTACAGCCGGTTAGCGACTTCAATTGTTGTCCCGAGCGGTGTGTGCGTATGTGGCAGGGCTTCCTTTCGACGGACCGCCATTCCACGAACCGAGTTTTTCGCCTCGAGTTGACCTCTTCGGCCCGAACACTCTTTTCTCTCCTCCGCGAGCCAGATTGAGCAGGACAAGGGTTCGTTCCAACTCATCGTACTTTATACATGAATCAGCGCGCCCAACAAATATCGTTATCCAGAGAGAGTTTACCGGGAAAGAAAGAAACCGCAATTGGACTGCTTTGTCAGGCCCTGTGTTGTCCTTTTTTCTTGGTTCAAGGATTCCGCTGGATAACTTACGAACCTGGGGTGTAACCCATTCATGGGTTGGAACTGGGTAAGTTATTGTCAGCATCAATCTGCCGAGTGATAGTATGTGATTGAGGAATGCACCTTGATCATTGAACCGCGACGCTAATGATTGATTGATAATTCATTCGTATGTGAACCGCGACGCTAAAGACAAGTCACAGTATTTGATATATGCCTTGGGGATGTTTCCCCGAGGATAGCCGTCGAGATTATTGACGACCCGCTTAATGGCTCTCGAACAAAGCCTAAGCTAGGTCTCCGATGGGAAATGATAATTTCCCAAGAAAGCTCTAAAGACGAACGACATATTCGTATGGCAAATATTCGGGAAGCGGGCGACAGGAGCTCAGGATGCCGACCCAACCGAAAAATACCGGCAGCAGGATGTAGAAGTTGCATGTCGGATTTCTCCATGCCTGCGGTAAAGAAACCTTTACCCTAAACCGATAATTACCGAAAGCTTATTATCTAGGACAGAAAACCGCAAACTAAACTAGACATTCAGCATCAATCAACATTTGTTTATCGATCTGGCGTACTGATTAGCCTTGATACTCTTGATATTTAAACGATTTATAAACAGAGGATAGTTATCCTGATCCCAACGGAAATACTATAACATCGCAACCAAATGTAGGTTATAACTTATTCTTTTATTTTGGTTTTAGGCTCCAGTCCAGTGGCTTATATGAATCGAAACGCACAATACGAGTCTCTCTGGGGAGATGGCTCCTCAGCGCGGCTTTTTTTCGAGAAGCCATCAGCCCTGTTTTCCAAGGCTCCATTTCTTTACCGTAGTTCTTCTGAGTCTTAGTAAGTTACCAACGGTAAGACATGAAGATACGATAGACCTTTCTCGAAAGTGAGTACCAGTCCGGAACCTTAACGAAGCCTGCTGATTCATTTTGCTTAGAACTTATATCTTACGATGCAGTTCTAGCTCCGGCCGAGGATAGAGGAACGGAATACCCCCCGAGAACAACGGAAGGACGAGTGATAGTGATAACAAAAGAAAGGCTAGGAGATGGATAATTTTCCTACACTGATCAGGGCGAACATATTCGAGGTTTTGCGGGGAGAGGTGAAGTGAAGCTCGCAGCATCGTGTTTGATCGTATCCGTCCGAAATGCGAATTTTGGCAACGCCTCGAGAGCAGAATAGAATCTTCTGCACGGTCGCAGACCCAGATAGCGCGAAGGCTCCTTGCCTACTGCCGAAGACTCTTCCCCAAAAAATTTCTCCGAGAAACAGCGATTCAGGGTTGCTGAGCGAGCGAAAATAAAACGTGTTCTTACCACAAGGCTGCAGTTTTCGTGCGGGGAAACTGCAATTTCCCCCCTATATCCGGCTGATACATTCCAAAACAACGCATTGATAGTTTCACCAATGCCATAGACGGAAAATCAGGCAGAAATGACAGTGAGTGATAGTTCATGATCGAATTTTCATCGAATCTTCGTCGGCAGATATAGCCGTGGTCAACTGCCACCGCACCAAGTGAACATCTAAAACGAGGGGGGAAAACAAGCTCTGACCCTGCAAAATAACTAATACACGTATCTCTCTACACAGCCTTCCTCTTCTTATTCGTCTTGTGCCAGAGAGAGCGCTAGACACCAGAAATATCAAACTGCACCACCACCACCACGAGATGTCAATCTACAGGTTCGCCGTTGAAACAGCTGCACCCCTCTGCCCGGCCATCGCGGCCGCTACCGATCAGACGTGTGATTGAAAGGCAGGTCGGTGCATCGCACCAGCAAGAAAAAGAACTCATCGACGAACCAGATGGGAAGCAGATGACATGATGAGAGGGGAAAAGAAAAAGGAATAAAAAAAAACCAACAGGAGCAGAAATAACAAGCAAGTGGCAAATTGAACGCAAATGCACAACACGCAAGCTGCCCCCGATCTGATCTCACATCTCATCATCATGTCGCTCTCACACCTTTCCCTAATCACCTCAATCATCATCATAATCATCATCATCATCATTAACACGGCTATTGCTGTATAGTATAATAAACTATAATACAAAAAGCCGGCATTACTTGGACTACGATAGCTGAGTCCAGCGGCCAGTCAGTCCCCAGTAGGTAATAAAGATTGATGATATGATGTACCTGTGACCCATCATGATCATTATTCATCCACACACAAAACAAATCAATTAGAGTTTTTAATCAAGACCACCCGGCACACTCTCAGCTTTGATGAGCTTTTTTTCCCTCCTGGAGGCTCGCCCGGCCCCCGTGTGTGACGGGATGCAGGCCAGGGGACTAAGGATGGGGGGTTGATGGTGGGAGGAAACCAGTATGAAAATACATGGACAGGGGGGCGGGGTAGTGACTACTTTATCTGAAGCACAAGCAACGTAAAGTTATGCATACGTGACCATGGATGACCCTTGGAATCTCGACTCCACCCTCCCAATTTTCTAGATACCGAGCTACCGGAATATTAAGCACCCCCCTAACTTACTTCTTTCCTTTGCCCCGCTAACTATCAAATATTACCGGTACCTACCGCGTTCTAATAATTGGGCGAAGACTCTTCTAGTATTCCAGGTACTGGGTTTAGTAGATAATGTCCAATGGGCTGAAAGAAAACCAAATCGGGCGACATTACCATTTCCTCATGGTGGAGGAGCTCAGTCATCCAAAGGCCCACTTTTCCAATTTACCTTTAGCTTCTATCTTACTTACTGATTGCCAGGTGCCTATCTAACTAGCAGTGAACCTTACCTACGTATACCAGTCAGTACGTTAGCCACTGAAAATTTTCCGAAGGAACCCTTTGAAGTCGGGTAATTATTCAACCTAACTCACTCACTATTTGGCCAGGGCATCTAATTCGGTAAATCCCCACACGTAAGAATAATCCGGGCCCCGCCTTGTGTACGCGGAAAACGTCCCTCATCCCACACACCCTCTGTGTTCCATCGAATCTCCTGATTTCATGTCCCGTTCATTTTAATTCCCTCCTTCTAGCCCCTGGCTTACCCGCCGAGTTTCCCCGCAATGATGATGTGCCTGGATTAGATGTTACGTATGCTTCGTCCCTGCGCCAGTAATAACCAGCTACGATCAGCATTGTTATTTTGGAAAAAAAAAATCTTGTGAGGTTTGTATCAGAAGAGCGGCTTGATGGGCTGGACTTGTCTGGTCTGGCGTCTAGTTACTGGATTGACGGGGCATGGTCTATGATAATGAGAGTCCATGGTATATGTCTGTGTGTATGTAGGCAGTATGTACCCAAGTAGTTAGAGTTGTTATAATTAACATGACATAAAACGTCGTGCATTACATGGTACCTAGCAATAGCAACCAGCAACCAGCAACCAGCAACCAGCAACCAGTAACCAATCAGCTTGCTACACCAATCACCAAACCCCAGTACTACAATAGGTACACTGCACACTTACTAAATAACATACCTGTACCTGAACGAAAAAAAAGGAACACCGCGCGCGCGCGCAACCCCTCTGCGTTGTTGCTGCTTCTGCTGCTTTGCTTGACCGCGGTGTCGATAGTTAGCAATACTAAGTTTCAAAAGCGGAAACGTTGAACGTTAAAGACCAATGATTAGACCAACAACGTACCCAACACCCCACGCCACTTGCTTGCCCCCTCCCCTGATCACGATAGATCCTCACCAGGAACACACATACTCACATATTGCTATCGATACCGGTGTGTGCAGCATCTGATCACCGGTAAGCATTTCCCTCCTGCTCCTCCTCCTGGCGCTGCTGCGCTGCTCCTGCTGCTCCTCACTCAGGGCAGCTTAGTTATACGTAGTGCACATATGGGGGTACAATTGCAATTGTAACTACGTACTCCACTTGGGCTACTATAGGCTAGGGCTGGCTTAGTTAGAATTCCTATATCCTATCCTGGTAAACTCCGATCGGGTTCGAATTCTGAAACAGAAAATCCGGATTAATATCTTGCTTGATTGATCCTACTGTAATAAACTACGTCGTATACTGTACTAGATCTATAGATGGGATGCCTTGCAGATTTTCGGGGGGCGGAGGCAAAAAAGTCAAAAAATAGTATGTAGTTAAACAATTGCCTTTCGATAATTTCACCATCAAATCAAATCAGAAAACCTAGCTACTGCTGCTAATTCTAGCCCGGGAAAAAAAACACAATCTTAAAAAAAACATACAGGATATCTTCTGCTGCTCTCTCCTCGTTTAGAAAAAAACAAAAAAAGGACTCTTTCTTTGTACTAGCTACTAAATAACATACAAAATGACACATACAGGTAAAGGAAAAAGGGGGGGAAAACATACAAAAAAACAAATAGCCCCCGCCAGCCCGCCGCCGCCCCGCACGCAGAAGAAAGTAAAATAAAAACACCACCATAGTAGCAACAAGGATATAGGACAGATACGTACGTACAAACAAGGGGATATAAGACATTGAAGAAACAACAGCAGGTAGAAATGAAAAAAAAAATGAAGATATGTCTGCCCAGGAGATGAAGGGCGAGAGGTGGCTTTCTGAAGAAGAAAGGTGTTTCGTTAAATGGATTTTTTTTTTTCGTAAACGGGTCGTAAGAAGCCATGCCATAGAAACGTCGTTCGATCGGAATGTCCCCATCAGCAACGTTAAAACAAGTGTGAAAGAGGTAATGAAATGAAGGAAAAAAAACACAACATAGAAAATAATACAACACAAAAAGATAGTGACAAGAAGAAAAAAAAATCGGTATAATAATGATAATACGCCTTCCATATCAACGATGTAATAATAGACCCTTAGAAGAGAAAAGAAAGAAAGAAAAAAAAAAGAGATGAAAGAGATAACCCCCCGTATTGAACAAAAATGAATCCAAGGATACAGTAAAGTAAAAAAACGATCAACGTTTTTAAAACATTTCAATTTTCTTTCCTTTTGCTTTCTGCTCCTGGATTGATAACAATGTGGTGGTGGTAGCTGGTCAGCGCTTTTCCCTTTTTTTCTTTCTTTTTATAAGAACTGTTCCATGTTCCCAGTGCCCTTTATCCCAATGTAAACCCCCCAAAGCCAAGCCGAGAATTCCCCCCCAGATTGTGTGTATTTCCCTATACATCCCATAGAACAGAAATCTAAAAAATGCCAAAGCTTTTCGTGTTGTTGTTGTGTTAAATTTCAATATTGATTTTTTTTATCGATACGATTAAGAGGAGTCGGAAGGCCTCGACCGGCGGTTTCTCTCCAACCACTTTCTCTTTCCGGCCCGAGTTTCGAGGTGAGGCGCTGAGTTAACAACATCCGTTCCGGCGGCCATCATGCTGCTCCTCATCTTATTCCTATACGCGTCGACTAAAAAAGAAAAAAACCAAATTAACACTCGCTCACGGCGCCGCAGGAAGTTCGCCGTGACTTACGAGCTCGCTGCAAAAACATAGTCCTGCCTGCAAACACTCTGGACTGGCTCCACGACATTCTGTATCCCAACTCGTTCAAATCCAACTCCTTCTTCCTCTTCTGGTTGCTGGGTGGTGGGGGTGACACGGTCATGCTTGATCCATCGAGCATGGGCACGATGATCTGGGTCTGGGTCTCTGTTTGTGAATCGTCCTCCATCTGTGACGCCATGAATGAACGCGGGTAGACAGAGTTTGATTTGCGGTAAGAATCCGGGATCTCTTGCATGTGAACCTGGTCAAGCATCACACGGACACGGACACGGGAGCCACGTGCCGGGTCATCAACAAGAATAAACTTCCGACGCTTGTGGTCCGGGATGTCTCCAAACAGCGAGGTGTTATTGGGTGGGGTAGACGCGGTAACGGCATTAGGGGTGTTGGATGAAGGGCCCATGGGGTCCATGCTATCGTGCATCGAAGGTGGCATAGAAGCTCCCCCTACGTTTTCCGACGGGTAAGAAGTGGGATATCCGTGAAAGACGTGTCTTGGCCTGATATCGTTTCCACTTGTCGGAGCATGATGATGATGCTGTCCCGCATGCCCATTCCCGAATTCCTCACCTCCAACGGCCGGGGAAAGATGTCCTGAACCAGACCTAGAGCTAGTGTTTGAGGGCATCTGTCCCTGGACTCCATACTGAGCTTGAGCAGAGTGATGGTGGTGGTGCAACATCGAGCCCATATCCTCCTCACCGTTCGCCGCGGTTGGGGAGTCATTGTGGCCTGTAGCTGTTCCCGGATGGTGGTGGTGGTGAAGCTGTGGCTGCGCGTTTGGGACAAGAGGCCCCTTGAGTCCGAGCCCTACGCTGGCCGAAGGAACACCATTGTGAACGTTAGGTGAACCTGCACCGAGGTGAGCCTGAGCAGCCTGAGCATTTGCTTTGCGATTGTTGATCTTCGCCATGCGACGGACCCTTCGGCTTCGTAACCGGGGGTCCTGGTTAGAGTTCCTCCAGCTGTCTACAGCTCTCTGGATCAAGCCTCTCTTCCCCCTCAAACAAGGATTAAGCTCTGCCAAAGCCCAGCCAACGGCATTGCACTCGGTCTCGTAAACCAACCTGTTACCCCGGTACTGGTCCTTGGGGCAGCAAGCGCGCGGGTAGACGCAGTTCTCGGTCTTGAACTCGTGGGATAGGGTATCAACACTGATAGACTCAACATCGCAGCGAATGGTGTACTCCATCTTGACCCTGTCGCGAGAGTACTCGAATGCGATCCACTGTACGCCGTTATTGTCTTGTCTGACCACCAATGGGGTCGTTGCCGGGATCGGCCCAGGAGCGGCATTCGGGTTGATCGCGGAGTTTCCAGCACCAGGCTTGGATCCAGACGAGGGGGTAGATGGGGAGGCTCTGTGAATAGGAGTCTGGGAAATCTTTGCCGCGGTAGAAGTGTTTGGTGCGACATGCTGGTGATGAGGCTGTGGTGGAGTCATGGTCTGTCCCGATGACTGAGACATCAACAACGGCTGTGTGAGACCATGGTGAGGAGGCTGGCTGGAATAGTTCTGGGGGCCAGTCGGTATTGGGGGGTATGTCTGCGGATACCCGTACAGCGGGGTCTGCATAGACTGTTGTGAATAGACTCGGTGATCCGCTGTGGGAGAGGCAACAGAGGCCGGCGAGTTGCTCTGAGGAGTGTGGTAGATTGGGGGATATGGTGGACGGTTCATTGTGTGAGTAGCCATCAAATCTGTATAATAGTTTCGTAGAATGGTTATTAGTCAAGGAACGTTTTGCTTTCTTTTCTTTCTTTCTTGCTGAGACACGAGGCGGCGCAGAGGTGTGAAGGAAGGTGTGAGGGAAGGTGTGAGGGAAGGATGGAAGGTAAGAAGGGAAGGGATGGAAAGTAGGGGTGGGTGAAAAGCAAATATAAAGGAATAGGATATGCTGGGGAAGATCGGAGGGATCTACGGACCTTGAGGTGGGTATGAAGGAGCACTACCGCCGGGAGTGCCGTATGGGGAGGGATGGGCAAAGTAAGCGATCTCTTGAGAGTGAGGGTGCTGTGAACCGGGGAGGTTTGAAGACTGGGCGAAAGGGGATTGATGTTGAGGGGGGTGCGGCGATGGGAAAGTAGAAGAGGAGGGGGGAGGCTGCTGCTGCTGCTGTCCTGGGTGTTGTTGTTGATGGGGAAGGTTAGGTCTAGGGTGCTGCTGCTGTTGCTGGGGGTGTTGTTGATGCTGTTGCTGCTGCTGTTGTTGCTGCTGCTGTTGAGGATGTTGCTGCTGGGAAGTAGCAGTGGAGGGCGGTGGCGGCGGATGTTGTTGATGAGGGTGACCTGGGTGGCTATCCGGTTCAGTGGCCGGCTCCTCCTTATAGCTGCCGGGTGGATGCGACATAGCTTGCTGCCTGTGGTGTGACTGGGAATGGTATGCCACTGTTGCAACTGGGGGAGAGATGGATTTGGATGGGGCTGCGGTGACGACGGAGAGGGCGGTGAAATCTGTGGAGGTGCTAAGCTACTCCCTAACAGGATCTAACGCTTCTTCTTCTGTCTACTGCTTCTGCTTCTGCTTCTGCTTCTGCTTCTGCTTCTGCTTCTCTGCTGTCTCTGCTGCAACGCTCTTCCGATTCCTTTTTTTTTATTTTTTTATTTTTTTTTTCAATAGTGCGAATTATGACGGCGTTGATGCTTGCCGTAAGGATCAGATCTGTTTCTTCCGTGTGGTTGGGCAGGCGTGGCACAGCACCGTTCCTCTGGGAATTGAAGGAATGCGTGGGTGGTGAGTGGAAGGGGGGGATGGTTCCTTTTTTTTTAAAAAAAAATATTATTTATTTAGGTATTTCTCTTTCCCAGGTGGGGAGTATGTGGATGATGGATGGACGGATAGAATGGCTGGCTGCGTGGGTGCGTGGGTGTGTGAGTGTGAGTGTGAGTGAATGCGTGAGTGATCGAGGATGGTGCACTGAAGCCTTGGGAATTCTTGGTTAGCTCGAGGTCCACAATTCCTGTCCTGTCCCTATCTTGCTTGATCTGTGTGTGGTGTATGTATGTAATGTATGTAACGTATGGCTGGATGGGATATGTATGTACGAGATGTGGATGTGGGTATGGATGGGCAGGCAGGTATGTGTATGTGTATGTAATGTGAATAAAGGGGACAACGCTGTCTGAGCAAGCAAAGCGAGCAAGCAATCACCTTGAAAAGACCAGAAAAAGAAACTACCAGAGAGAGGGTAGGGGGAGGAGAACAGACAGGCAGACAGGCAGACAGAGCAGCAAGCAGTCAAGGGGGAAAAAACAATAAGACTTCTGCTAATTGCTGTTGAAGAGGAATCAGACGGAAGAAGAACCACGAAAGAGAGAGAATAAAAAAAGCAACGAACGGGGGAAAAAATCAACTGTAAAAAAAAAAGAAGGGCTAAGAAAAATTCAACTAAAGAAAAAAGCCGATATGATATGGATACAGAAACCCCCCCCCCCCCCTCCCCGGGAAGAAAAATCAGTTACTAACTAGCGTAGGGTCGACCAGTAGTCTCCACAGTGATGCGGGACGTAATAACGGTAACCAGTTCGAGTATGTACGTATCAAACGCCCGCCAATACGTGCCGAAACCCCGAACAGGAAAATAATGAAAAAGGGAACGGAAAAAGCAACGCTAAGGAAAAAAGAGAGGAAAAAGAAAAAAAAGATATAACGGCTTCGTCTGCGAATGAGAATAAAAGGTCTAAAATAAGGTGGGAAAGTAAATCAAAGTGATGTAAGGCAGGGAATAAGCTAAACAATCACTGAAATCAGGAGGGGGCGTTGGGAAATGATACGTCTTCCTCTATCTCTCTCTTGGTCAGGCCAAGCGCGGCGCCAGATACGAAAGTAGAGATAGAGACTAGAAAAGCGATCGAGAAATGACTAGGAAATGATGGAGATTCACCAGAGATCAAGCAATCGATTATTTCCCGGCAAATTTCTTGTTTTCCCTTACAGCAAGAGCAATTGGAACGATTGGACGAAAGAAACGAACGCGAAAATTGGGTTGTGAAGGGAAAAGAAAGAATGGGAAGAAA